CTTTCCGATCTGACCGAAGCCTTTGGAGTACTACGCAAGTACCAAATGAAGCTCAATCCGACCAAGTGTGCCTTTGGAGTCTCCTCGGGAAAGTTTCTGGGTTTCATGGTAAACAACTGTGGCATCGAAGCCAATCCAGAGAAGATAAAGGCCGTGTTCGAGATGGAAGCGCCCAAAACTCTGAAACAGCTTCAATGCCTCAATGGGAGGATTGCAGCTTTGAACAGGTTTGTTTCAAGGTCGACTGACAAATGCCTTCCTTTCTTCAAAGTCCTAAGAAATAAGGGACCCTTTGAATGGACGGCAGAGTGCGAGCAGGAATTGGAACAATTGAAAAACTATCTCTGCTCGGCACCTCTGCTCACAAAGCCGTTGCCAGGGGAGAAGCTCCACTTATACCTAGCAGTGTCTGACAGCGCTGTCAGCTCGGCCCTAGTCAAGCAGGAAGGAGTGCGCCAAAGTCCCATTTATTACACAAGTAAAGCCATGACCGAGGCCGAGACCAGATACCCCCAAATGGAAAAGCTGGCCCTCGCTTTAGTTACCTCGGCCCGAAGACTTAGGCCGTACTTCCAAGCGCACACCGTCGTAGTACTTACCAACTTGCCCCTGAAGAATATCTTCCATAAGCCAGAAACATCAGGGCGCCTGATGAAGTGGGCATTGGAGTTGAGTGAATACGACATCCAGTTCGAGCCCAGAACCGCGTTAAAAGAGCAAGCAGTAGCAGACTTCATCGCGGAGCTTACCCCACCATCTCAGTCGACCGAGTCCGACCTCTCGTGGACGATCTACATTGATGGATTCTCCAATGAGAGGGGGTGCGAGGCAGGAATCCTCTTGTTCGCACCAGGTGGGGAGCGATTTGAGTATGCCATACGGTTCAACTTTCGGACTTCAAATAATGAGGCTGAGTACGAAGCACTTCTGGCAGGCCTACGCATTTCTAAGGGACTGGGGGCCATCCACATCAAGGTCTTAAGTGACTCCCAGTTAGTCGTAAATCAGATTAAGGAGGAGTATCAAACAAAAGACCCCCGAATGGAAAAATATCTTAGCAAAGTCAGATCGCACCTCGCCCAGTTCGAGACTTACGAGGTGAGTCAAGTTCCACGGTTAGAAAATTCCAATGCTGATGCCTTGGCCAAAATGGCATCAGCATATGAGACCGACCTGGCCAAGTCGGTCCCAGTCAAGATCTTAGACAATCCTTCAATCTTGGACCCAGACGTGATGGAGATTGACACTCCATCACCCTCATGGATGGATCCAATCGTGGAGTTCATCAAAGGAAATCCGCCGCAAGAACTGAAGGAGCAAAAGAGGATGGCACGGAAAGCAGCTCGGTTCGTACTCCGAGATGGAGCGTTGTACCGACGTGGCTTCTCCCTGCCCCTGCTTAAGTGTGTAACTCTTGAAGAAGGCCTTTACATCCTTAGGGAAGTCCATGAAGGAGTGTGTGGAAACCACTCAGGCCCCATGGCCATTCGCGCAATGGGGAGTAGACATCATAGGTCATTTTCCCCTGGGCAAAGGGCAAACTAAGTTCGCTGTTGTCTCTGTGGACTACTTCACTAAGTAGGCAGAGGTTGAGGCGTTATCCCACATCACGGAGTCCAGAGTCACATATTTTATATGGGCAAACATTGTATGTCGTTTCGGTATACCAAACGCCATTGTGACAAACAACAGAAAACAATTTGACAATGCAAAGTTCAAAACTTTTGCAGTAACCTGGGAATAAGTCATCTCAGTTCGTCCCCTGCTCATCCGAAGGCCAATGGGCAGGTCGAAGCAATAAACAAAATTATAAAACGAGGACTTAAGCTGAGATTGGACTCCAGAAAGGGAAGATGGGCCGAGGAGCTACCTGAAGTGTTATGGTCATATCTGACTACCCCGAGAGAGTCAACGGGCGAAACTCCATTCTTGCTAGCCTTTGGCTTCGAAGCTGTCGTACCAGTTGAGATCGGCATACCAACAGACAGGGTAGAGCAGTACGAGCCAGCGAAGAACGAGGAAGAGCTACTCCTTAACCTTGACTTATTGGAAGAAAAAAGGGAAATGGCTCAGCTGCGCTTAACAGAATATCAGAACAGAATGACCAGACATTACAACACCCGAGTTCGACCTCGAAGCTTCCAAGTTGGACATTTAGTTTTAAGAAAGATTCAGAGTCATGTGAGCACTCTTGACCCGAGTTGGGAAGGACCATTCGAGGTTAAAGGCATATTCCTACCTAGAACGTACATGCTGGCCGATCTGGAAGGAAATGTGCTTGTGCATCCATGGAATGCAGAGCATCTAAAGCACTATTACCCTTGAAATGTCAAAATGGTCCTAGAACGGACTTGTAAAAATTTTCAAGGGGAGGAAGTGAATTGTTGATAAACAAGTTATTTAATTTCGTGACTCCGAGTTCGATCAGAAATTAAATGAGGGCCACAGACTCCCATAAGACTTACGGTTTATAAATACAAAAATTGACCAAGTTCAAACCTCGAAACCCACGGGTTCGAGGTGCGATGTGAATATTGATTAGGAACTCAAAATTCAACCCTTTGAACGTTTAAGTTAAAGGTGCGATGTAGAAAGTTCAAATTGTTGAATATGGACTTTTGGACTTCTGAGTTCAAGGAGAAATATTAAAGACCAATAAAAGAAACTCTCAAATTCAAACCTTAAGTAAAAGGTGCGATGTGAAAAGAGTTCATCCCACACTCAATCCTTTACTAGGGGCGTTTTCTTCCTCAAGATCGGAGTAGTCAGAGTCCAGCTTCTGACATACTTCTCCACCAAAGAATGGGGGCCTGAAGTGCCGTTAGGCCCAGAGGCCCACTTCTCAGCATACCTCTTCTTCAGATCGTCGAGGTCGAGCTGGAGGTGGGGCATGTTGGCAGCAATGCCCTTCATCAGGAACTTAAAGCCGACATCACTGAAGTCTTCAGCAAACCCATCAAAGTCTGGGTGTTACCTGAATGTTTCCTCCAACAGAGCCCCATTGGTGTGGCGTTTCTTCATGTCTTTGAGCTCGGTCGTAAGACGCCTAATTGAGTCATCCTTCTCTTCAAGGACTTGAGTAAGGTCATCCTTCTCCTTCAGAAGCTGGAATTTCTCCTTCTCCAGCCCTTTGGTGATAGCATGGGCTGCTCGGAGGTGGGCCTTGTGTTTCTCACCCTCCTTCTTTAGAAGTTCGGCCTTGGCGTCCACCTCGGAACGAGCCTTCAGTAGCTCACCCTTCATGGTGGTCGCAGCCTCTAAGGCAGCAGAGGAGTTCTCCTTCTCCTTTGCTGCCAAGGCCTCCCTCCCATCCAGTTCGGCTTTCATCATAACTGCTGAATGAATGGAAGTGACGAACGCCTGTGAAAGTCAAAGAACACAATGGTTAGACTGAACTATAAGTTGAGAAAATAAATAATAAGAGCAGATACAAAAGCAGGTCTTACCTCGGCAGCGTTGTCAATTGTCCTCTGCAGCACGGATCCAGGATCACTTATGAACTTGGATGCTCTCCTGAGACAGCGGTCCAAGCACGCGGCCGAGATGAGAGACACCTGGTCCTTCACCCCGGAGCTTGACGGTTCCATCCTGAACCGCATTCTCACGTCGGATGTTCCCCCCATCCGAGCTTCGGAGTCATCCACCAAATCAGCATGGCTCGTAAGCAGGGTCCCACGAGCTCCGGCTTCCGAGGAGGAGGAGGTCTTCTTCTTCTTTCTTCTCCTCCTCAAAGGAGATTCTCCCCTCACCTCGTTCAGGGGAGATATGTCCAGCGCCTCGGACTCCTCCCTTAGGCGCTTCTCTCAGGATTGATCCCTAGTTAAGTCTAGCTTGATCACGGAGGTGGGGACTTCAGAGGATGGCCCAGAGTTACCATAGGCCTCAGTCCGCGGCACGATAGGGGTCGCAGGTCTCGTACCCACCACGGTTTTGAGGGCGTTAGCACGGCCCTTGGACTTGCGCTTCACACTACCGGTGAACCCGCACACCATCGCTGCAAAACATTTAAAGCAAGATGTCGGAGACGAAAGTTGCTATATAAATTCAAAACGAGACCGAGTCGACTTACCGAGTTCGGAGTTTGGCCTTGAGGCTTCGATTAGACAAACTAAAGGGTTGTAGTCCAATAGTCCCGACTCTAGGAGCAGCTTGTCAGTTACCAAGGTTCCGATCTTCCAACCCCTTGGGAAATGGTCCTTGTAGTGCTTGAGGGTGTCGAAGGTGGCTTGAGTGAGCTCGGGAATCGGTTTGATCGATACTGCACAAAGCAAACGAAGGTTCGGGTTAGATGTGAAAGGAAAGAAATTAAAAGGAAAAGAAACAAGAAAGACTTCATACCTAAGTTCCCAAACCTAGTGGGAACATCAAAGAAGGTACGACCAGACTCATCCTTTGCCAGTCATTCCCCTGAGGCAAAGAACCACTTCCCTACCCATCCTTTAATGGAGGTCGGCCCCTTGACTATACCACCCGCGCCTTTCCTTGCACACATGTAGTACTGACCAGGCTTCTTAGCTATCCTTTTGGCTTCGAAGCATCCAAAAAGCTGCTCAACGTTCAGCAGCTCTACCTCGTCCACATCCCGAACTCGCAACCAGAAAAGGATGGCCAACGCAAAAATGACACCCCATCTGTTGGGGGCAACTTGAGCAGGAGCCAATCCAGTTCGGTTGAGGAACTCTTGGGCAAAATGGTGAAGGGGAAGTCTGAGGCCGTACTCAAACATTTTTAAGTAAAGAGTGACCCATCCCTCTGGAGGATTGTCAGCTCTTTCCCCTTCCTCCGGAATCCTGAGGAGGATGTTGTTTGGAATTTTAAACCCCCTACGAAGGGGTCCGAGATAATGCTCGGGCATTTTAGAAGGGTATTCCAAACCCTGGCCCGAGGTGGAAGTGTCACTATCCTCCCCATCGTCCGAAAACCTAAAGTTCTCTATCTCTTCCAACTCGTACTCCAACCTAAGAGCTAAGTCCTCCCCAGAATCACTTGGTTTGGGGGGTGAACTACTTATGGTCCGACCTGCACTACCTAGGCTATCACTATTGGAGGGGGAAGACAAGAAAACTACCATATTTGAAAAAGAAGAGTAAAACGAGAATGACTGACCTACAGAAGGTTCGAGCTGGTTTCTGATCGAACTCCAAGAATTTAGGGAACGTAAGGTTTGACCTGAGGACCCGGAACTATTTATAGCTAATCGAAAAAACCTCTGCACCGTACACGTGTAATCAACGAACGGCTAGGATCATCTCGAGATCAATAACGACGGAATACTTGAGTGCTCCGACAACCTGGCAGATCGAAACATCTTCCGCAACGGTCATATTCTCTCTACGAATTAAAAGTCGCCACGTGTCCAAAATGGAATCGGATAAACTTCTCTGTCAGGTCGAGATCGAACCTGACAGAGAGGGGGCCAATGTTTGGGGGTAAAAATACCTAGGACACGTGGAGGACACTTATTGGTGTTTGAAGAATTAAATAAAAGGAATTACCCAGGTCCACCTCGGCCCTGTCGAGGAGACCGGGTTCGTCCATTGAAAAAGGCTAAGTATAGATGCCAAGGTTCAACCTAGCTGGGGCTCGATCTGGTTGCAGCCCGACAGGTTCGACATGAAAAAAAACATAATAACCGCCGGTCGCGAGTACTGTCGGATCAACCACCTATAAATAGAGGGCCTCATTTCACGCTCAGGTATCGAATCTCACCTCGAACAAAATACGGAGTTCGACCTATACTGACTTGAGCGTCGGAGTGTTTACCCACTTGTGCAGGTCCACTCTAGTGTTCAGGTCGAGACCGGTGGCCGGGTTCGAGCTTGGTTCAAGAAATACCGTTGTGCAGATCTTTGCATAAACAAATATCATCCAACTTTGATGTAATTTCCAATGTTTTCTTCATCAATTTTATGATTTTTGAGTACACAAATGGCACCTAATTCAACTTAGAAATAATAGCTTATTGATTTTTTTAGTAGAACGTAACTTATTGATTTTTTTAGTAGAATGTAACTTATTGCTTATCTGCGATTTTTAAATGGAAAACAATGGTAGATATTCACTTTTCAGTTGTACTTTGTATTTGCAGCTTTTACATAGCCTATAGTTTTAAACTTAATTCATAATATTGTTATTACTGTGTATATTATTGATGCTTGCTTGACTTCTGCCCTTTCTTATTGCTTATATCTTTAACTTTTCTGGTTTCTCAATCTACACTTTAACCAGTAATTATGGGATGTGCATATTTATACTTTTTATCATGTTCTTAAGGTTTTTAAGAGCTGCCATGTAGTTTTATGAGATGCTACAATTTTATACACAGAGGACTAATATGACACCTGATACGCATATTGGAGCAGCTCAAATCCATAGAATGCAATTAGACAGTGATAACAGAGAAATAAGTGCAAGAAAATATTTTACATGCTATAACTATTAACTGGTTATACATAGTTTAAACTTTAGCAATTCAAATCAATTTATTTATGTTTCTTGATTTTCCTCTCTCTAAAATGAAAATTGTAGGGTAACATTGAAGCCAT